TGGGGGTATTGTATGTGTGGAAATTCATCCAATGAATTGTACAGTTGAAGAGAAAATGTACTGGGGTCAGTTTTACCTGGAAAAGTGGAGTTGGCCTTTACAGCAGAGCTATGGCTTCCCATTGAAGAAAAAGTTGGTATGCAGTGCCTGCTAGCACTACTGTGAAACAAGAAGATGTTGCAGGGGGTTTGGCTACCAGCATTGTCACTGCTGATTCACAAATCTGTACCTTGTCCATCAGCATCTGACCACATGTAGTCCTGCCTACTACTTTCTGGAATGACCGCACCTCATCTGTTCCTGAAACCCTCCCACTGTGAGCTGCAGGGTGGCTCAGTCAGGGAAGGTCATGGAAGTTTTCTTGTTTACTTTGAGGTTTGTGTATCACATAGTAACTGGATTTGGTACGCTATTGGGCAAAATGTGGGAGTGGGGTACCCCAGGGTTCAGTCCTGGGACCGATCCAGTTCATCTTTTTAATTAACGACCTAGAGATTGAATTAAATAGTTTAATTTCGGTGTGTGAGGACGATGCTGAACTGTAGGGCAGTAAATATCAAACAGGAGATATATGCACTTCAGCAAGACCTAGATAGAATTGCAGCGTGGGCTACAAGATGGCAAATGCAATTTAATATTGATAATGTTAGGCTATGTACATGGGAGCAAAGAATGTGTGCGCAAACTACAACTTGGGGGATGCTACATTAGGGAAGGTAAACATGGACAAAGAGCTTGGGGTGCTCATAGATCACAGATTTGGCAATAGTATGCAATGCCAAGCAGCAGCCAGCAAAGCAAACAGGAAACTGGCGTACATCAAAAGAGGGAATGTAACAAGGGATAAGAGTGTCACTTCCACTTTACAAGTCACTGCTTCGGCCTCATCAGGAGTATGCGGTGCAGTTTTGGTCACCAACTCTCAGAAAAGACGTCCTGAAACTGGTGACAGTTCAGAGAAGGGTTACAATATTAATTAAAGGAACAGAATGCCTGAGTTATGAAGATCGCCTTCAAAAATTAAGCTTCCGGACAGAAAAAGTACTGCATGTCACATTTTCTCCGGTCCGGAAACCCACGAACGTGTCAAAAATGCAGTGAAACCGCACCGCACTGCAGCTACCAGACTGACAGCCCCACTGGGAAAAAAACTGGAACACGGTCAAAACGCGTCAAAAACGCCCTGCACGCATAGCACCGCGTCTGCAGATCTGCTGTAGATCTGGACCAGAAAATGGTGTGAACAAGCCTTAAAACAGTTTCTTTTATATAATCTTATATGACTGAAGTATCCGCTGTATGTTTACAAAACATCACAATACCTTTCCCTGTAATCCATTTGTTATCGTTGGAGTGTTGTATGCCAGAGATGACATCATGGAATATCCATATGTGTTATATATATCTATATATAGAGAGAGATCTCTGTCATGTTTCTACAAAAACTTGCTCAGATGCAGCGGACATTCTGAAGAGTCCTGTAATTGAGAAGAGGAAGACACTTGGGCAAGGGATAATGGATTGGCAGATGTTCTTGCCAAGTGGTTAATGACCAGATGAGGAGGCCAAAGCTTTGTTCCATTAATGTCTCTTGCGAGGCATATCTTTGTACAAAATGTCAAGGATTTCAATAAGTGGACTAATGCTGTGCTGCTTTTCAGTAACTTAATGGATTCTGATAAAATGGGCTGATCAACAACACCAGTGACGTCTTTTTTGAGATGTACAACATGATTTAGAAAAATGTTTAATTGTTTACTTGGTCTTCCAGAAGCTTGTTTGTTAAATGTACTTTTATTATAGAGGAAACCCTATTTGTTGTTTCATCTCATATACACTGGGAAGTTTGCCTCTTTTCCTATTGAGATCATACAGTAGAGCAGAAACATACTTAATTCATGATTTCATGATTTGTCCCTTGAAGATTTTTTTTTGTGTGTGTTTTACAAAATTAGTTTGATCTCTGCCAGTGAAATAGTTGTCTGGTAGAAATGGCCGGTCTGCAGAAGTTTGAACATTTGAGAACAAAATGGGTAATTTGATCATATGGAAAAAAAAAATCCAAAATTACTGGCATTTTGCAATTACAAACCACTGCACCTGCAGTATATGTCACCCACTATATTGAGAGTTTCAGCAGAACATGTATGAAGCTTCTTAGAAATACTGTATCAGGGGTCAAAATTTCAAGTCCTGAGCTACTAGCCAGGCCTTAAAGGAGAACTATGAGGTGAGTGATTTCCACTCACCTCATAGTTCTAGCCGATCTGTGACAATGAGACTGTCACAGGTCGGCTCAGTAGATCGGGAGGTGAGCGAACACATACCAGGTTCGCTCACCTTCCGATCCTGTCACGGCTCTCTGCCGTGACAGGGGGAGGGGCTGGATTCCCCTCTCCCTGCTCCGATCTGCCAGCGCTGATTGGCGTAACGGACGGGGGAGGGGGCGGGTACAGCTGGCTCTGCCTCTAGATAGGCAGAGCCAGCTGTCACTCACGCAGCTGGGCGGATCCCGTCATCTACGTCGATATCCGCTGCGGCGTCTCAGTATGCCGCGACGTCTCAGTATGCCGCGAGCTACAGCTCGCGGTATACTGAGCTTAGGGTAATGGGAGGACGCTAGTTTGTGTCCTCCCGTTACCCTATGGAGAACTATGGGGAAATATGTGCTGTCCTGGAAGATAATTGGGGAAATTGGAGTTCTTTACCTGGTCATTTGGTTTTTAGGTATCTTCCAAGACAGCAGGGACTTTCCTGCTATCACTATTATTTTATCGATTTAGGGGAATAAACTAACTTGTAGTATGTTCTCTGTTTGCCTTGTAGTTCTTTAATATCAGTGAGGTAGTGAGTGTGAGCTTATTCTTTTTATTGTCTGTGAGCCTTGTGTTTCCTCTTTATAGAGCCATGTGCTGGAAAATTCCTAGAAAATGAGTTACCAGGTAACTAACGCTGTTTTCTATCACATTTGGAGTAGGAATAAAGGGAAATTCCCAACAAGTGGTTAAACTAGTTTTTGCTGGGGGAATTTTACTTGTGTGGACAGGGTTCTCTTTTCTGACTCTCGGTGGTTACTCAGATAAGTTAATCTCAATTGTTACCATTTATTTTCAATCGTCTGTACTGGAGAACTACAGGAAACAAGTGAATGTTCTGTGTGGAAGTCGGACCTCTCTAGTAGTCGGCAGGTACTTTGTTATTGACCGCCATAGAATAGGCCTAAAATTACACTAAAGCGCACTTTCACTATTGATTCCTCACAGGCGGAGTGCATTTGGCATCACTCCGCCTGTGACAGGAGCCGGCGCTATAGAGGAGGCATCAGCTTATGCGGCTCTGCTACCTCCGGTGCCACCTCGCTTCTACTAACGCTGGCTTTGTTGGTACCGCTGATTCTCTCCTGCGGCTCTTCAAGTTCCCCCTTATGCCACCACCGGCCCTGGGAATGGTCACAACTAGGTCTTATTTTCGGGGTAGGTCTTATATTTTAGCAATTCCCAAAAATAGTACTAGATCTTATTTTCGGGGTAGGTCTTATTTTCAGGGAAACAGGGTAGCTGTGATTTTGTTGGTGTTTTGTCTTTGCTCAGTCCTGAATTAAAAATGTACATTTGTCCGCCAAGTTGATGATGGTATATACTGCTTGTTTGTCAAGGGGATTGTTTTACGTATTCCTTAGTTACTCTATGGTCCCATAGCAGCTGGCAGTCTGGTTCTGTTCTCTCCAGCACTGAATGTGGGTGCTACTCTTGCAACATCACATACAATGCAGGACCAAGCTGTGGCTGCGGCTCACACTTTGGTGTGAGGGGCAGTAACTAGCGGTTGAAGAAGAGCAGCTTCAGGGGACTGGTCATCACAATCTTAATTGACGGGGAAGAAAATTGCAGGACCATGGATAAAATGGTGTGTTAAAGAACGTGTTCTACTTCAGCACCGTTATTACACAGAGCTGTGCCCAATGCCTACCTTCTTCAGGTCCATATTTACCAGCTCTGCCAGCTGTGGCCTTCTGCGCTGTTTGCAGCCCAACCAGTAAAAATCTAGGCTTGGCTGAGTGACATTAACGTTCCAAAGACTTGAATAGAACATTGCCCATGCTATACAAGTATGCCCCATTCAAGTCTATGGAATGTTAGTGCGCAGACAGGGGCAGCCCGGCTGTAGATTTTTACTGTGCGGGCTGCAGACAGCATCAAAATGCTGCAGTTTGAGGAGCCTAGGGAGGGTGGCTGGGGGATTTTATTTTTTTATATTGCAGTCGATATGCATGTTTTAAATCCTTCCTTAGAAAAAGAATCCTCTGCTCGGGGATTCCCCTTTTTTTTTTTTTTCTTTTATAATATGGCCCTAAAAGGAACCTGTCAGGGCTACTAAACACCTGTACGCTTGTTAAGGGTGGAGGCCAGTGAATACTTACCTAGAACAAATCTGCCGGTCAGGGATCCTGGCTTCATTGCAGCATTCTTGTTTTGGGTCAGTGCTCCGTAAGTTATAAATTCTTAAACTGGCCATTTGCTTTGCCCCCTCTTATTATGGCTTGCCTGCTAGGATCTAGTATAGGTTCCAGACTGACTTGTCAGTCTGCGCAGAGGGCTATCTCTCCAGCGCCGCATCATAGGAGAGGGTGACTAAATGACAGGGTGACCAATAGCGAGAAGTGCTGGGTATTTTACTTGACTCCTGGTGACTGACCTGGGATGGTGGGGGAGCACAGAAACCAAAGGTCATTATATGCTCCGGAGAGGGGAAGGGACCTATTTCTTTTGCCCTCCACTGGATAAAGGAAAGTAATTTTAGTAAAGATGGATCTTAACTTCTTTACATCCAAGCAAACAGTGTAAAGCTCATATACTTCTATTTAGAAATGGTCCCTCTAAAATTGGAGTTGACCCTCCAGTAACAATCATAAGGAACTTGAATGTAAAGAGCATTTTAAATGATCTTTTGTTAGGATTATTTCAAAGTTTAATGAAGTATTTGATTGTGTTTCAGGAATCCATTGCACCCACATCTCAGCACTTCCCCTGCAAGAGTTTGGATTTCCGACATGGAGAGAATCTTGCTCTTGATTGAAAATGCCATTAAATCCACATAATTAGTAGTGTTGATAAAGCAAAAGGGGAGCCTTGTGATCTCTAGACATCTGCTAAACGTGATGACGGCCTGGTCCATGGTCAGAAAACTGGAAATGGAAAAGAAGAGGCCGTCCAAAGAAGAAAGGGCGGCTGCAAGTGAGATGGAATATGAGATGGGAGACTGCAGTGGAGAATCTGATGAATGGACCAGCTCTGAGAGTGAAGCCGAACAGCAGGGGGAAAAAAGTGCCATCAGCAGCTATGTTAACACTCTTTTTCAAGGCATAGACATTTCCAGCAAGCCCCACAGACAACTCTGCAGATCCCCGTGTCTGGACCGTCCCAGCTTCTCTCAGAGCAGTATTCAAGTTCCTCTTGAACAAGCAGCAAAGACGGAAGATGCTAAGAGCAGCCTAGACCGAGAGTATCAAGCAAAAATGGACTTTTCCCTAAAGTTGGGCTACAATGGAGAACAAATCCAATCTGTCCTTAACAAGTTGGGAGCAGATGCTCTTATTAACGATGTCCTAGCTGAGCTGGTGAGGCTAGGTAATAAGGGGGAATCTGAGGCACAGACTAGTGGAGGCAGTTTGAGTAGCAATCTTGTACCTAGAGGCCCATGCACCAAAGAAATAGCAACTCCCGAACTGTCTTTAGAAGATGATGTTGTTGACAGTTCGGATAACCTCAGACCAATCGTCATTGATGGAAGTAATGTAGCAATGAGGTTGGTACACTTTTACTGCAAACAGATCATTTCTGGTAGCATTATTACAGTGGAAATGTATTACTTAGAGGGAACTTAGAGTGACTCCATGAAGTCACTAGTGTTTTAATGCTTGTGTAGTTTTCATGGCTTTTAATGCATTGCACTTGTGTTTTACCAGCATTCTTCCTTTCTGGTTTTATGAATTAACTTTTTACTACCAATCTTTTTCGATGGCTTTACACACGTTTTACCTGTGTTACCAATTATATATTCTAGGGATGCATCGGTAACAGTTTTTCGGTTACAACTACAAAAAAAATAAAATTCGGTACTCGCCGATACTGATTTCCGATACCGGAAGTCCCATTAAGGAAGCCAGGCGGCGTGTAACGACTTGCTGCCCAGCTTCCTTATTAGCCTTGAAGCGTGTAATGACTCGCAGCCCGGCTTCCTGATTATCCATGAAGCCGTCTCCTAGTATTGGTATCAGTGCATCCCTAAAATATTACAATTACTTTTATATAGTGCCAACATATTCCGCCGCACTGTACAATCGTTTAGACAAACACGGACAAGCATCATCGACATAAGAAACAGTGGGTGAGGAGGACCCTGCTCAAACGAGCTTACAGTCTAAGTCCCCATTCACACCGCTGGCGTTTGTAGCTCATATTTGTCAGCACAGAAAAGCTCCACACAAGCCTGTAAAGATGCGCCCCTTTTTGGGGAGATCAGCGCAATGTGACCCTTTTTCCTATTCCTAATCGCGCTGATCTGCCCAAAAAAGCTCACCAGCGACTGGCTTTTTTTTCTCAGCACGACACTATGCTGAGACTTTAACGTGGACTTTAGAAATCAGTAGGATTTCTTGTGCGGAGCTTTTCCATGATGACCAATACGAGCTAGAAAAACGACGGCGGTGTGAACGGCGGGGACTTAGGGCTGTAATGTTCCAGTGCTCTAACCACTTTTCCAAACTGTGCCATGGTCAATTAGGGCGATGAGAATCAACATAACTTTGTGTGTGTTAGACCTTTTTTTTGTTTTGAAGGCCCACATAGTACAGCTGTGGAAACGCATTCGCTGACAAGATGTCGCCAACTCTTGTAGACTCTCATAGACTTGGGTGTGAAGGCGCAGTAAAGCAGTCATTGTGTACCACACCTGTATTTCTTTTTTTTTGGGTGTGAACAGGGCCAACCAATCAGAAACCGATTAATCGATGATTGAAAAAGTTGACAACTTTTTCTATAATCGATTATGTCGATTAGTTGTTGCAGCCCTATTGGGTTTTGCAGAAACAGAGTCTACATATGTACAAGGCTGCAACTAACGATTATTTTTATAATCAATTATATACAAATGGAGTGTTGCAAACATAAAGTATATTTTAGAATAATACCGGATGCACAATTTTTTGGAAGGCTTGGCATTGCAATACCATGCGTTCCAGTGTGGGCAATCGCACTGCAGGCGGGAGGTGCGTTTTGGGTGCCATTGAAATGAATGACAACGCAAAAAGAATAAAGCATGCATGCAGCCACCAGGATTTGATTGTGTCCTGACACTGCAGCCAGTTTATCAGGCTTACCAATTCCACTTGTACACTTTTATAGGATTGTGCGCGATAACCTCCATTCCTATACAGCAGAGATGTTGATGTGAAGGAGAGGAGATGGTATGCGTCTTGAATGTTTCATTTTTTTTTTTTTTTCTGTGTCATCCAGCCATGGCAATAAAGAGGTCTTCTCATGCCGAGGAATACAACTGGCTGTGGAATGGTTTCTGGAGAAAGGCCACAAAGATATCACTGTCTTTGTACCAGCTTGGAGAAAGGAGCAGTCAAGACCTGATGCTCCCATTGCTGGCACTCTGCTGCAAAACAGAAGTTCTGCAGAGCATGAGAACAGATACAGATTTAAAAGTAAGAGCAGCAAAGAGAAGGGAAACTACCATGGATTACAGTAAGGCGCACATTACAGTATTGTTTTATGTTAAAAAATCTGAGGGTTTAATGTCACTTTAAGAGCAATAACAAGAGACATTTAACATTCAGACATTTAACATTCAGTGAAAAGTTAGCATACCAAAAAAACCAAACCACTGTAAAACTTGCATGTAGCTTTTCAAGGTGGAGTTCAGGTCAATGAGGGTCATAATATAACAGTTACTTGTATTAAAGGATTATTCAAAGTTTAAAATGCAAGCCCAACCCAAATATTCAATCTGACATATAAAGTTGGACATGCCAAATAAAAATGTGAAGACAAAAACTTACTGAACCAGCACATAACAGATGATTATGATTACAATAGATCACGAAGAGGAAGCTAGAGAATGAATAAAAACAGGGTGTGGTATTATAACTATTTTGGTAGAATCCATTGACAATTACTTGGAAGAAGTGTGTCAGGAACTTGCAAAATGCTTTTTTTTCTCAGAATATGTTGCACAAATAATACTTGCCCTAGTTCATTAAATGTATTTCGGAGGATTAAGTATGCTCAGCAACTTCCTGGAAAAATGTAATTTAATAGGTTTATAGCTGGAAACAATATGAATCAGGGGTGTGGAAATAAAAAAAAAAAAACTACTTGTCCAAAGGACTAAAACGGGGGCTGAATCTACTTGTCCTTCATGATAATCTACTTGTCCCAATACTAAAAAAAGTTTTAAACAAAACTTAAGGATGCACCAATACCGTTTTTTCGGTATAGAGTACCGATATTTTACTTTCGGTACTCGCCGATACCGAATACCAATACCGGTGCTTCCGCTGGCATGGAGCAGGCTTCCTGGGTAATCAGGAAGCTGGGCAGCGGGTAATGCCATGCCACCCGGCTTCCTGATTGCTCGGGAAGCCAGCTACATGCTCCCCCGGCACTGCCAGTTAGAGGAAATTTTCCTCTGGCCCTAAGTTCCAGTATCGGGGAAGGTATCGGAGCATTTGGGCGAGTACAAGTACTTGCCCAAATACTCGGTATCGGCACTGAAATTAGTATCAGTGCATCCCTAATCAAAACTTATTTAACTAAAGGCAGAGCCAGCTGTGCCCACCCCCTCCCCGTCTGTTCCCCAGTCAGTGCTGGAGGATCGGAGAGGGAAGGGGGGGGGGGAATGCCAGCGGGAGCGGTGACTGACAGCCACCACTCTCTGCAGGGAGATGACCAGGAAGTGAGAGAGCTATGGTATGTGTTTGCTGACTTCCCGATCTATAGAGCCGACGTGTGACAGTTTCAATGTCACACGTGGGCTCTAACTATGGGGATGAGTGTAAATCACTCGCCTCATTGTTCCCACTTTAAGTTCAAAATGGTTAAAATAAGAAGAAAAAAACAGGTGGGTAATGTCCTACTTACTGTAATGGACTACCTTTCCTGAATATCCGGCCACCAATAATAGTTGGCTCCATTAGAGTTAAGATAACACTCACTGCACTGGCATTTTGAAATATATGTACAATCAGTCATGTACACAAGCTGCCTCATTTTAGGTAAAATGTAGAAAGTCAGCAATACTGGATATGGATTCTAGAGTACTTTATTTTTATATGGCTCTAATAGTAAGAAAACCTCTACTGAGAGAAATATGGAGGCTGCCATCGCTTACTTTTATTATACAAATGCTAGTTCCCGAGCTGCCTGACCAGAAAGTTTTGTGAAGTCAGAAATCTTGGTCGCGTTTTACTGGTTAGTGACTCGGGAAGTTCTGAAGACATTGGATTATCAAAACAGTGAGGAGACTCTTATTTTCTGAAGGAGAGGTTAGTAATAACGGCCTCCATATTTTAACAATAGAGGTTTTCGAATAATACGAATACTACCAGTATAGAATATTTAAAGGTCATGTAACATCAGATATGAATCTTTTGCTTTATCCACAGACCAGGAGGTTCTTCGGAAGCTGGAAAAGGAGAAGATTCTTGTGTTTACACCATCCCGCCGGGTGCAGGGTCGCAGAGTGGTTTGCTATGATGACCGTTTCATAGTCAAGCTGTCCTTTGATTCTGATGGAATAAGTGTATCTAATGATAACTACCGAGACCTCCAGAATGAGAAGCCTGAGTGGAAGAAGTTTATTGAAGAGAGACTTCTTATGTATTCATTTGTCAATGACAAGTAAGGGTCTTTTGTTCTGCATTATTGCCATTGGCCTACATCCATCATCTTAGAAGTCTGTCAGTTTAAATGCTTTCGTATACCGTATGGGAAAACCAAATACAATTTAACAGAGATGGCAATAAATACATTTTATATCAAAAGCTGAAAACCAAATCTTTATTGCTGTTCAGCTGCTTGCTAAAGTTTTAATCCAAAGTAAAGGGGATGAGCATGTGGCATCTAAATCGGCTAAAGAATGAACACATGCTTGTCATACACGATTTCTAGCTCAGACCAGTTTCATTTTATGCTACCAGAGAACAACCAGAGTCAATTCAATATTGCTTGTGGCCAAAGTGAGATGCTTCTACTAAGATATTGATATTTATAGAAAATATAAATAAGATCCCAGTCACAAGGAGCTCTGGCCAGTAAGGTTTCTTCTAAGATGTCTGTACAGTACATCTATGTAGCAAGACAAACAATGGGATGAATTGTTTCCATTCTACTGGAATGTTGTTGAGCTCTGATCAGGATATTTAGACTTGCCATTTTATTGATTCAACTTCACAGAGAAGGGAATTTATCAAAATCTGGAGCAAACAAAATCAGCTGTGCATGGCAACCAATCAGCTTCTCCATTTTTAAATCCTAACTGAACTACACTGCACGCGAAGCATCGCGGAGCGGTGGCGCGCTGCCTTTGCGAGCAGTGTGTCATGTCATTTTCTCCTGAGCACCTCAGCTGGCGAGAGCTCGCGGACCTGAGCGTGCCGAGATGAACAATTTCAACTTTAGCCAATCGGCTCGCGCGTATAAACCGGCGCGACGGGATGCGGTGTCTGGCCGGTTGTTAAGCACGAGCCGATTGGCTGAAGGTGCAGTCAATCATCTGACTGCACTCAGCTCACACACTGAGTGCCGTGCCGGACAGCTTTGCTTCGCTCTGCACGGTTTCGCGTGCACTGTGTCACGGCCTTTAGTCAGTAAGACATTAAAAATAGCAGAATGATGTGACCCATGGCAACCTATCGGTTCAGTTACAAGGGAACTCCAGCTGAAATATGTTTGTTAAGCTTGGATAATTTTATGTCCGGTTTCTAATTGCTGTGATTGTCTTCCTTTCACTTACTGTGTGATCTGTAGGGCAGGAAGTGATGGCAAATGTGCCCACTGGGAAGAGTTAGTCCATTTTAAGGTGACTTGTGGTTGGTTGCTAACTAATTTTACACTGCCATTGCTCTTTTTACTGGCTCATTAGATAAGTAGGTACATTGGGATGCATGAGTCACCCTAAAAAAACAAACTGGACCTCCTTTTATTAATGACTTACTTTTTTTTTACATTGCCGCACTATTTTATTTGGTTCTTGTTTAAAATCATTTTGCAGTACAAAGCATACGGTATTGTCATTGCTGTTATTTGATGGCTTCACTCTGCAACTCCTTTCCACTTTGTACCCAGGTTTATGCCACCTGATGACCCACTAGGAAGGCATGGTCCCAGTCTAGAAAATTTCCTACGTAAAAAGCCTGTGGTTCCGGAGCATAAGAAGCAACCATGTCCCTATGGTAAGTAGAAGCTGCTAGATGTGTGGTGTGTTGTTTTTTTTTTTTTTAAAGCAGCTTTGTATGCTTTCCCATACTTCAGAGCATGCAGCTGATATACGAGCTGGTCCAAGAGGTTAGTGTACAACTCTATCCAAAACATTTTTTCGGGTTTTTTTTTAAGTAAAGTGGGGAAGGGCTAAACTACTCGTGGGGCTTTATGTTTTATAACAATATGTTATATATGAATGTTATATCCCTTCCCCACTCTACACACACTTTAGTTGTGAAATGTCACTAGTATCATCTGTCAGAAATACTCTAAAATAGTGCTGATGGTGATGCCTCTATAGTGGCCCATTTCAATCTCACGGCTTTGAGCTAATATTGCAGAAGTATTGAAGTGTATGTGCGGTTTGTTGGAGCGTGTTTTAGCTGGTTGTGTGGTTTAACCCCTTTGTGATGAGAGACGTACACTGCAGGTCCCCGCCACGAAGTGCCCAAATGACTGATCACGTACACTGTACATGATCAGCTATTTAGGGATGTCAGAAGCCATTAACTGCTGAGATCAGTGGTTACCATTTATTCATTGATGCCTCAGTATTGAGCCCTCTATTAATGAAAGAATTAAGCTTTGACAGATATCTGATTGCTTGTAGCGATCGGGTATTTCACCGTAATAGCTGTGCGGGATTTACTGCACTCACTATCACTGACAGCTGAACACATGGGGGTCAGGAAATCCTGCTGTGTATCAGCTTTTTGGTACATGTTTCTGCAATAGAAACAGTTAACAAAATGTTTCTTTGTTGACACATTGGGGTTGATTTACTAACCTAAACACACACACACACACCAGGTGTGTGTGATTTTCACACAGCAAAACGTATTTATCAACCAAAAAGTCTCTAAAAGCATATTTCCACTAATGCCATATATGGAAAAATCATGCACATGATGCATATATAATGCTGCTTCACAGTTTAGACAAAAATGGTTAGCTCCTGCATTTACATTCCTGCATTCATCAACGCAAGCAACATAACATAGAGCTAATTTACACCACATTACCGTGCAATTCATTGCAGGGCTTTGAACAACACACCTGCTGGGTGTGTACACACTACAAAGGTGTTTCGATTCCTCCCATAGATCATGCTGGGAGGGAACACACTACAGAGGTGTATACACGTTCGTGGTGTGTTTAAAAGGTTAGTAAATCAACCCCATTGTATCAGACTTTTGATCATTCTGGGATTGTTGGACAGTTGACTTTACCCACTAGCACACAAAAGAATGTTCTGCAGAGGCTATATAACAGTAATGGAACAAATTCCATTTTTTAATTTTAACTATGTACCTCTTGGTAATCTCCTCTTGTTTATTTTAGGGAAGAAATGTACGTATGGACACAAATGTAAATACTACCACCCTGAGAGAGCGAACCAGCCTCTGCGATCAGTTGCTGATGAACTCAGAATAAGTGCAAAACTGTCAGCGGTCAAGACAATGAGTGAAGGTGCGTTAGTAAAATGTGGGATGGGCCCATCTAATTCCAAGGGAGATGGATCCATGGAAACAAAGCGAATTGCTCCTAAAAGACAATCTGATCCTAGTATTCGTTCTGTGGCTTTGGAGCCAGAACATAGGCTATCAGCAGCCCGCAAATCAGAGGCCAACTCTGTGCCATCACTTGTATCTGCCTTGAGTGTGCCAACTCTGCCACCTCCTAAGTGTCATGCTGTAAGTGCTTTGAACACACGTTCGGCAAGCAGCCCTGTGCCTGGATCATCGCAGTTCTCCCACCAGAAATCCTCCTTGGAGCACATGACAAGTGTTCACTATCCACCAATACTGGTCACCAACAGCCATGGCAATTCTGTCAGTTACGCTGAGGAGTATCCAAAATATGAATCTCTGGGAGACCATGGTTACTACTCAATGCTAAGTGACTTCTCTAATTTGAGCATCAGCAATATGCACAGCTCTGACTACTACAACGCAGAGCAGGACCGAGCAGCGTTTTCAAGGAACTCCAGCCCATGTCCAGATAGTTGCATGAGTCACAACAGCAGTGACTCCTATTCTTCATACAGTGACCTCTATTTGGGCATCTCAGATCCAGGACCTGAAGACACCGTCAAACACCAAAGGCCACCTCCACAGAATAGATGGCAGCCATTTGCACATGGCTACCATGAAGCTTTAACACGAGTTCAGAGCTACGGTCAGGAGGAGCCCATGCAAAATTCCCGGAAGCAGTCCTCTTCACATTTGGCTCTGCATCTACAACATCCACTTGTTGGGGCACGGTCAAGCTGTCCTGGAGATTACCCAGCGCCAGAGAATATGCACCCTTCTGCCAACGCTCAGCCTGGGAGAGCATTGGTCATGACTAGAATGGATAGCATATCAGACTCCCGTCTTTATGAGAGTAACCCCATGCGGCAAAGAAGACCTCCACTGTGCCGTGAACAACATGCTAGCTGGGACCCTTTACCTTGCCCCAGGGACTCCTATAATTACCACTCGTACCCACTTAGTAATAGTCTCATGCAGCCATGCTATGAACCAGTCATGGTAAGAAGCATGCCTGAGAAGATGGAACAGCTCTGGAGATCTCCTCACTGGCCTTCTATGGCCAGTGACCATAGAGAGCAACACATCATTCCAGAGCATCAGTATCAGACTTACAAAAACCTGTGTAACATCTTTCCTCCAGGGGTGGTACTCTCTGTCATGGAGAAGAACCCACACTTGACCGATGCCCAGCAGCTTGCAGCGATTATTGTTTCAAGGTTACGATCAGGTCAACACCACTGTTAATATCATCCCTTAATGCCTGGACAATAGTATCTATTGATCAAGTTGCCTGAATAAAACCTGGCAGTGTTTTTCACATTTAGCTTTCTCCGATGACCTATTGATCAGTTGTTTTTTTTTTTTTTCTTGCCACCATTTAAACTTTTTATTAAGACGATTTAACTTTTATTTATTTTTTAAAACTTTATGATCTTTACAGCATTCCCAAAGGAGTGCATATTTTATTGTATAGATATATCTATCCCTGCTAGACCTGTGTGACAGGTTAAACCTCAGTTCCTTGGAAGGCAAAGTCACTGATTCCTATTCTTAATAAAGAGGATAGAAGGGTCAGTCAATCTCTCCAATGCTGGAGATCCCAGCACATCATCAAAGCACATGAGTTGCTTGCACCATGTTAAGTTCAGCTGTTCACAAAAAACACCTGTTCATATTGTTAGCAATTATATTGCATGCCTATGTGTGTATTTGCAGTTTCAATCAGTACAACTGTGTACATAGGTAGTTCCTTTTCTGTATTGTTCAACAAAATTGCTGCCTTTTGCTTGCAGCCCATTTCCACATTTGCTGAGGTATTTTAAAAAAAACATATGCCAGCAATGTACACCGAGTGTACATGAAGCAGGTGTATGCAGTTGCTGTATATGAACACAGAAACATACTTTTTTTTGTCCTTTTCTTCATCTCCTCCTACAGCTCCTTTTTTAAAATGGCCACCTCCTGTGCTTGGCAAGCAGTCTGTGTACATTGACACTTTCTCTGCGAGCACTCTCTCCCCCTATTCATTGTGGAAACCCCCCTGGACAGTGTATTGTAAAGGCAGAGCTGGTGAGCAGTGATCTTGTTACAAGGAGGGGGTCCACTGCTTTTATCATTTGACTCCAGTATCAGCCTGAGTTTCCTGCGGAGACAATTTTCAATTTGTAGGACTCGGGCCTACTAAAAAGTCCATAAAAAGGTAGCCTGCAATGTGAGTCGTGAAACTGACACACATATACATCACCACTGCGCCTCTACATTACCACAATAAATGTGAATCGCTTACAAAGGTGGAAATGGGCTTTAAAAGAAGGTTTTGTTTGCACAAGGAAAATGTATTGCTGGACTCTTCGCTCTTTGATGTATCTTTCAGAGGTCATCAATACATTTCCATGTTGCAATGCATTGATGTACTACAGATTTTATATTTGCACAAAATGAATTTGTTTGTTTTTTCTTTTTTTGCACAATTTTTCGGCAGGTCGGTCGTACCTCAGTAATATTTCATAATAGCCATACGCCTCTTAATCACAATTGTGCTTTTGGTGCCCAAGATACAAAGAAGGCCTTTTAAATTTCACGATGGGCCAAATGCATGTCATATTTTGTAACAGAAGAAGAGATGTGTTTTGTATATTTTTTGATGTAGCTATGTGTCCATTTGTGGGCAACAAAAACCTGGACATTTTTTTTTCTTGAAAGAAAATTCCATTCCGATAGTATAGACGTTAATACTTGATCATGTCACGGTGGTATCCACAGCTCCTGAGGAGATGTAGCTTGAGACGTTGATTTCTGAACACGTTATCATTCATTTGGCTATGACTGGCCAGGAATGGTTATTTGAATGCCAGTACCTAGGTGGTTGAAAGACTAATAGACCAATTAGAATGCTAGTATGGGTAGGAGCTTTTGATAACATTGTCAATAGGTAAATGTGGTATTTGGGTGGTTTACAACCCACATGTAGGTTACCTGTGTCTAGGAGTCTCATGAATATGATTACAAAATAAGATTTGTAAGCCTCTCTTTAGGCCTAAGATGAAGGATCTCCATTTCAGCACATGCTGCACAACATTTACTTGGTGTTGGCTATCTCTAGGGGTCGTACAGATGTGGAAGATTTTACGATATTTGAATGTTCTTTCTAACTCTTTTACTAAAGCTTGTTATAAGGTTTACTAGTCCTTCACCTGGCGGTAAAAGAGTGCAACGCTTGTGGTGTCATTCTTGCAATAGATATGAAGAATTCTCTTCTTTGTCTTGCTTTGTATTCTCTTTTACTACCAATAAGTTTGTAAATGTCAGTGACGTCAGACAAGACTCACCAGAGACATTTCCCCTCATAGTTTGGTGTCAGTACGACCTTCCTTTTCTTTGGAATAAAGAAGGTGTAACTCTTGTTGCTGCTCCTTTCCAGCAGGTACTGGATTTGTTTGAGCTGCAGTCTTTATTCACTACTTCGTAATGGGTTAGTTGCACTTTTTGGTTGTTGTTGGCTTATGTACATAGATGTAAGGGGGAACACTGCAGATAGCATTGCCAGACCAGGCATTTTCTTGGTTGTCTTCTGCTGCACTCAGGTTGCTGACCCTTAGCACTATCTCTTATTCAATTTTCTAATGGACCCATTGTATAATACTTTTAAGGTTTTGAAGCCGATCCACAGCCATGCTTTGGGCTTTAGTCGACTTCGTTTTTTGTTTTTTTTCATGAAAGCGTAGAAGGGTCAAGCTGATTGGCCTTTTGTTTCTTCATGAGAAGGTGATAACTGCCTAAATGTTTCTTACTGTGAAACAAACGGAACGTCAGGCTGCCGTCAGGGTTTTCTCTGGCTTTCTGAGAATGGGTCTTCGGCTGCTCCACTTTAGCTCTGAAAACGTTTTATTCACAGGGAACCTGCATACATACATTGAGCCTCCCGGGTCAGTATTTGTTAGACCTGTGTTACTTCTAGCCACCCGTCATCTCCCTTTCAGGTTGCTGGAACACAGTAGAAATGGAACTGAGAAACCTGTTGTTGTTAACAGTCTTCAGATACTTTCAACCATGAGGCTCACTGAGAAGTGAAAGTGGCCTTGAAGTACAACTATACTGTTTGTGGATGAACTTTGAATGTGCAGACTTCGAATGAACACTAGAATTGAATCTGCTGTTACAACTAGAGCTCCTGTTTGTTGTTCTAGTTTAGATGGCTGATGCTCAAGTTTGCTCTGCCCTGTAATTCAACTGCTTCTAGTAGTAAGGCAATGGCAAGCTTCAGCTCTAGATGGGAGCCTTGGTTGTGACATATAGCAGATGGTCTAGAAAATTCCCCTTAACATGTGCTAAGGTTCTGTATTTCCCTCCAGTGTTGTGCTTCAAGCTTGTGATTTTCACTTCTCCCTTTGTTCAAGCTACCATTCCTGGGTATTGGTCACAAATCCTCAGATATCCATAGGCTGTATTTATATGTGTATTGAAGAATCAATTTAAGTCTAGTCAAGACTGAGATTCTTAGTAATGGAAGATGTTGGAGACCATAGCTTGTAACTTCAAAGGGAAGCCAGGCCAAAACTTACTACAGTTACATAGCTACCTAGTTAGTCAGGTTGAAAAAAGTCCACCGAGTTCCACCTATTTGTTCCTTTATTCCTATCTAATCGTATATTTTGCATTTTTTTTTTATGGGAATAAAAATGTTTTTAACACATTCAGAGCACTAAAACATTTACATCTAAAATCGGACATATTCACCAAAGCAGTGGACTGTAAAACACCCTG